TTCTAGGCCGTGGAGGATCAGAGGAGCGCTGGCCAGGGCCATGGAGAGAGTGTGACACAGCCGCTGGGTTGGGAGGTCTGAGCCGGTTCTGGTTGGCTGACCCTCTGGGAAATCCAGGGAGTTTCCAGGCTGAGAGCTTGGTGGGGGGGACCAGTGGTGAGGGATGTAGAGAGTCCTATTGGGTGGGGAGGGCAGGCTTCTCCTGTCGTCACACCTTAATCCCTCCTGCTGTAGGAGGCCTGGCGTGGAGGTGGGGAGGGGCGATACTGGTGTGTGTGTGTATGTGTTCATTGGTATCTGTGTCTGTGTAAGTACATGTGTGCCTGTGTGTGACTGTGAGCATGCAAGTCTATATGCTTCTGTTCCCAGGCTCATACGTGCCACCATGGGTGTGCATTAAGTCTGTGGAGCGACAACGTGAGGCTGGGCCTGTCTGTGCCTGAATCTGTGTCTCCGTGTGTGTGAGCGCCTCTGTACTTGAGAACACTCAGGTCAGACATTGTGTGTTTGGGCATCCAGGTTTCCGTGGGTGTCTGAGTGAGTGCATGTACAAATGTCTGTGACCATGTATGCACGTGTGTGTGTCTGTGAATGATTCTGGGTGTCTGAAGAGCTGTGAGTGGCCGTGAATGTGTAACTATGTACGCAGGTGTCTGTTCACGTGTCTCTGTGTTGTTCTCTGTGTGACCCAGGAATCTGCAGTTCTGTGAGTCTCCCCACCACTAAGAGCAGCTCCTTTGGGGACTTCCCTGGGCCAGAGGCTAAGACTCCGAGCTCCCAATGCAGGGTCCTGGGTTCTATCCTTGGCCAGGGAACTAGAACCCACGTGGTGAAACTTAGTTTATATGCTGCAACAAGACATAGAGCAGCCAAATAAATCAATAAATCAGTATTTAAATAAAAGAGAAGTTCTTTAAAAATAAAGCTTCTTTTCATTTTTTAAAATTATATTTATTTATTTTTATTTTTGGCTGTGCTGGGTATTTGTCACTACACAGGCTTTTCTCTAGTTGCAGCAAGTGGCGGCCACTCTCTAGTTGTGGTACGCAGGCTTCTCCTTGCGGTGGCTTCTCTTATTGCCAAGCACAGGCTCTAGGGCTTCAATACTTGCAGCTTGTGGGCTCAATAGTTGTGGCACTCAGGCATAGTTGCTCTGGGGCATATGGGATCCTCTTGGGATCAGGGATCTTACCTGCATCTCCTGCATTGGCAGGTGGATTCTTTACCACTGAGCCACCAAGGAAGCCCAAGAGCAGCTCTCTTGAATCTCTGTCACAATCCTCCCAATCTGCCTCCAGTTTTGTCCCCCAACTCTCCTTTCCCTGGGGTGGAAGTTCACCCTTTTCAGGCCCCTAGTAAAACCTCTTGGCTCTGCTAATCATGACTGAAGTGAAGTCGCTCAGTTGTGTCCAACTCTTTGTGACCCCGTGGACTGTAGCCTACCAGGCTCCTCCCTCCATGGGATTCTCCAGGCAAGAATACTGGAGTGGGTTGCCATTTCCTTCTCCAGGGGGTCTTTCCGACCCAGGGATCGAACCCGGGTCTCCCACATTGCAGGCAGACGCTTTAACCTCTGAGCAATCATGACTAATGGGGTCCAAACTGGGTGGAGGCTGTAGGGGGCACCTTCTCCAGGCTGGCACCCACCAGAACCTCACCCATCCCAGTTCTACCCCACCCCTAAGCCTTCACCCCTGGGTGCACTGTCCACTCTCCTGTGAAGCTCACCCCTCCCATTTCAGGAAGCAGCCTCCCTGCTGAGACTTTGGGGAGACATGAAAGTCACAGCTTGAGCCCCCAAGGGGCCTAGGAGAGCTCCCCTTGGCCTAAAGACCAAAGCAAGGTGAAACCAGCAGGGGAATTAATATCCCTTTCTCCCACCTTCTCCAGCCTCCTAACAAGCACCCATTTTCTACCCTGCCAGGTTCTTCCTTAAAACACTTGGCTTGGGACTTCCCTGGTGGTCCAGTGTTTAAGAATCTGGCTTCCAATGCAGGGAATGAACTCCATCACTGGTCAGGGAACTAAGATCTGACATGCTGTGGGGCAACTAAGCCCAGGTGCCGCAATGAAAGATCTAGCATTAAAAAAAAAAAGACAGATCTAGCATGTCACAAGAAAGATCCTGCATGCCATAACTGAGGCCCGACGTAGCCAAATAAACAAACAAATATTTTAAAACAAAACAAAACAAAACACTTGGCTTGGTAGCTCTTCGCTGGGCCTTCTGGCTGCTACAGTCGCCTCTGGGGCTGGGGTTGGCCAGCAAGAAGAGGGGGGAGGTTACCGGGGACATTCCCAGGGCCCTAGGGGACAGGGGCAGGGGAAAACTGGGTCTATCTGATGAGCCTGAAAGGTGACATTGGCTCAAGATCACAGCACTCCACACACAGCAGCCTGGAAAGGGGATTTGAGGTCAGACTTCTCTCCAGGAGCAAGAAACCCTCCCTATTCTTCTAATATGTTTATCATTCATATAACAGTCACCGTACTGTTGCTAGGAACTGGGGACACGGCCGCATCAGGCAGACTGTCCTAAAGTTGTTTGGGCCTCATTGATCTCCTCTAACAATGGGGAACTCACTACCATAGACGTTCTTGAGTCCCAGCACTGCACAAATTCAGCGGGAAGGAGACACCCGAAATCCCTTGCTGCCTTCCTGGAAGCCATGGGGGAGAGGGTGGGACCCAGGCTGGGAGGGCATAGACCTCCATCTCCGCAGAGCCCCATCCTCCTGCGGTCCAGAATGTGTGTGCCCAGGAGCGTCTGAGCTGCTAGGCCACCTGCTCAAACCCAACCTGGGTTGACAGGCCCTTCCTTCAAAGGCTGGCTCCAGCCCTCTGTGCTACTTTATTGCCCAGCTAATGATGGTGATTAGGCCGACAGGTGCCACCTGCTTCCCGTCTCTGCCCTCCCGCCTGCTGTGGAGGGTGATTTCTAAGCACCTGGGGAAGCCTGCCCTGTGCTCTGCCAGGGCACCCACCATAGCCGCCCCCTCACCCCTCAGGTCGCTTTTTGTCCATCTCCTTCCCTGAGAAGGCAAGCCCAGTCCTCATTTCCCCAGGGCTGCTGTGTGACCTCAATGTACATCTGGCCCTCTCTGAGCAGGATTGAGGGGGAATCAGACAGGTATGAAGGGGAGCTGAGAACAGTTGGAGGGCATGTGTCCCCTAGGAAGCACGCCCATCTCTTCCCCAACCAGGGCTGGACCATGGGTACCCAACCAGGGTCGCAAAGAAAGTCCTAGTTTGCAGAGGGTCCTCCCCCTTGGGAGCCCACTGCATTGTGGGTAAGCCCCCACAGGAGTCTCCATTCTGGGGCCAGCCGGCTCCCATTGGGGGTGGGGGCTGTTGCCTGGGGCCTTGGTGGGGTCCTAGCGTGGGTCTGGGTGCGAGCCATGATTTATGACTGTGCTTCATGAGTGAGGAATGCCAGCCTGGGGGGCTGGGGTGGGGGTGGGGCCCCTGTTCTGACACTCTTCACTCTGCTGGATGTCTGGCATGTCCTGTCAGCGTCCCCTGTCCCCTGGGGACAGCCGTGCTCCCCCAATCCCATGCAGCAGCCTCCTCCCATCCGTGCCTCCCCTCAACCCTCAACCCCCCGGCTCCAGCCCAGGGGGAAATCCAGAATTAAATCCTTTTTGGTTTTCTCTCTTCACAACTCAGCTTCCTATTTTATTGGGTAGGAAGAAAAAAACAAAATCTCTCTTTTTTTGTCTCCTCCGGCTGCACAAGAAGGGAACTGGACAAGACCCTTGGAAACTTCCATGTAGGTGATCTTCCAACCAGGAAGGGGTGTTGAGCTCCCAGCATGGATAAAGGAGGTGGTAACATACTTCCCACCCCCACCCTACCTTGCCAGATAAAGGAGAATTCTGGAATTCATGAAGGCGGTGAGGCAGAGTTGGGGAAGGGAGGTTGGGAGGCAGAATGATCCAGAGTGCAGTCCAGTCCTGGACTCAGAAGGCCACGGCCTTGAACCTGTTCCTGTGAGCCTCACGTGTATGCATCCTGCTGCAGGCTGCCATTGTGGGTGAGGGTCCATCTTTCTGGGCCCCTAGCATGGGTCAGCCTGCCTCACCTGGTCTGGAGGGACTGGTTTTTCCAGCTGGTGGAGGGGTCGGTGAGGAGTTGGCAGGGGCAGAGGGTTTTATGTAAATGCCCGGGGAGTGCTCTGGGAACCGGGAGGCTGGTTTTCTCTAAGACACGCAGGGACTGGCAGCTCCCAATTAGCCAGGCCGGGTGACGTCAGTGCTGCTTTCCTGGGTGGCTGCGCCCACTCCAGTTGGCCTTGGCAGAGGTTCCTGGCCATTACCTTCTCCCTTGGGTGGGAAGGGTGCCAAGGGGGCCGCCATCCAGGATAGATGCCAGGTCCCCCTCCCAGCGTATTCACCAACCTGGGGCCTGAACCACATTTGGGGACCCAGCCCTGGAAAGTGCCATGAAAAACCAACCACACACTCTACAGTAAGACTTTAATGGGGCTGATATTTGAACCCTCCCCCCAAACCTGAGAGGCTGGGGAGAACTCAGTATGTTGGGCTGGTCCCAGAGACTGTTGCCCTGACAACCGCTGGTAGGCTTTGCTGCCCAGGTGGCGCTAACCCTGAGTTTCAATAAATAGAGGACAAAGGGGTCTGGTCGCCCACCAAGCTGGGGAGACAAAGACCTGGAATGCCAGACAGAGCACATTGTCATGTCTGTGACCTCACATGCGTACGTGGTCAAATGTACACACCTCGGATCATGTGCACATACACAATCCCCCCTTGCCAAACATCCTCACATGATACACCGTCTTTACACACACACACATGTACATACACACACTTTCCTCAGACACACAGGACTGAGCTCACATACCTCTTCCTTGCACACACACATGAGGTTAGATATACATGCGCATTTCAACGTTTGGCTTGGAGCCTGGTGTCCCCTCCCAGCTCACAGGAGTAGGAACGAGGTGGGTCTTTCTGGCTTGGGCCAGATTATCCCTTGGACTAGGGGCTAGATGTTGTGACGTTTGCCTGGCTGACCCCGCAGAGGCCTGTGGTGTTGGACTGGGCCCAGGAGGGGAAGTTGTGCAGGTCGAACATGGGGATGCTCCAGCTGTTGATGGCCAGCGTGATGACCAGAACCCCGATGATGTTGAGCATGAATCCCGCTCGGGCCTGGGGTGAGGAGAGCCAATCTGAATGCGTGGGTGCTGAGCGGGGCCAGCACCTAGCCCTTAGGTATTCACAGGTGCTCAGAGCTCTCTCACTAGCAAAACTCTCCCTGGGAAGTCCTCCTTTGAGTCTAACCTGCAGCACAAGGCGATATCCCTACCATGACTTTATTCCCGGTGCTAACAGAGGGAAGGGGAGCTCCCCCATCTCCTGGGGGTGGGTGCCTGGCCTCGCAGCGCCTTCCCTGCATTCCTCACCCCTCCTCTCCATCTCAGGGGCCTAGGGCTGCGGGGCCTGAAGACCCTCAAGTGGGGATCATGCCCCACCCTCCCCCCCATCACCTGCCCCGGCAGGGTCCACCGTCAACTCTGAGGACCTCAGTGGCTTTAAGCTACCCTGTGGCCCACCAAGATGGAAAGACAGAGCGGCGTGTGCCGAGGCATTCAAGACCCCTGCCACTCACCATGTCTGTCACTCTGAGGCCTCCAAATGAGAAGGCGATGGCATTGGGCGGGGTGGCCACGGGCAGCATGAAGGCCAGGGAACTGGCAAGGGTGCAGGGGAGCATGACGTAGAGAGGGTGGATGCAGATGGCCTGCGACTGGAGGGGGAGACAGCGGGGCAGAGCTGGTCTCAGCCCCGCTCCCAGAGGGGAAGGTGTGACCCCCCAGTTCTCCTTCCCTCTCTGAGGGACAACCCCCACCCCCCACCCCAATACCCACTCTGGCCATGCATGAGCCCACCACTTCTGCCAGAGGGCACTGGGTGACCTGGGAAGGGCCCCTTGACCTCTTTGGAGGGGATAAATGTGTGGCCCTGCCCAGTGGGGTGTGGGAAGGGGAGGGACTCATAAAACGGATCTCAAAGGGGCTCAGGGTGCCGTCATCAAAGGCTGTGGGAACGCGCCTGGGGAAGCAGGGGCTGGGGACGCTCCGGGAAGCAATTTCACGCCGTCACCTCAGGAACGACCAGAACCAGAGCTGGGCCAGGGCTGTGGGGTGGGGCCACGAGTGAGCCCCAGCAGGATACTCCAGCGGTGACGTCACCAGGGATGGAGTGAGTCAGGGGCCAGAGGGCCTTAGGGCCCAAGGTTACTGAAGAGCCTGGGGAAGGGTGGAGGCTCGGGGGTCCTTTCTTGGAAGTGAGAGGAGAGGCAGTCACTCTGACCCTGGCGGGGCTGGGCAGCAGGGCTCCCTGGAGGAGGTGAGTCTGCCGGGCCAGGCTCACCATGGAGGCCAGGATGGGCAGGAAGAGTGTCGTGGTGGCCACGTTGCTGGTGCACTCAGTGAAGATGGCAATCAGGAGGCAGATGATAAAGACGATGGCAGCAGGTGGCACACTCTCCAGTGGAGTCAGCTTATCCCCCAGCCACTTCGACAGGCCCGATTCCTGCGGGCAGAGGAGGGCAGTGGGTGAGAGGCTGGGCTGCCTGGGGCTCCAGAGTCCCCGGCTGAGGCTCTGGGGAGGGTCCTGCTCTTGCCCGCGCCTCTCTAGAGTCTTCAGAGTCAAGGGCAGCTTGGGAGGGAACGAAGAGACCCAGCTGAAACCAAAGTCTCCCTCTCCTGCTTTTTAAAAAAATCAATTAATTAATAAATTTTTGGTTGTGCTGGGTCTTCGTTGCTGCACGGGCTTTTCTCTAGTTGCGGCAAGGAGTGCTACTCTCTAGTTGTGATGTGCAGGCTTCTCATTGCTGGTAGCTTCTCTCGTTGCCAAGCATGGGCTCTAGGGTGCGTGGGCTTCAGCAGTTGTGACCCCCGGGCTCTAGAACACAGACTCAGTAGTTGTGGCACATGGGCTTAGTTGCTCCACGACATGTGGGATCTTCCCGGAGCAGGGATCGAACCCATGTCTCCTGCATTGGCAGGTGGATTCTTTACCACTGAGCCACCAGAGAAGCCCCCTTTCTTCCTCTTGAAGGACAGTTGGATATGGGGAGAAAGAGATGGGTAGCAAAGAGAAGGGGTCAAAGGGCTTTCTTGGGAAACGTGGGACTTGGTGGGAGAAAATACCTTTGACCCCACTGACTCCTGTTCTCCTGACCTCTCTTCTGGGGGGTCCCTGGCCAACTTTAGCCCCCTCCCTGCCCCCACCAGCCCAGCAGGTTGGGAAAGAAGGGACCTTGCTCCTGGCGAGGAGGGACGGGGGAAAGGCCCTGGTAGAAGCTGGGAACAGGTTGGAAGGGGGGTGGGGACAGTCCACAGGGTCAGAAGGGTTCCTGTAATGCCACACTGTAAATCCCAGGGAGCTGGGACTTTATTTTATATGCCATCACCCACTTAGCACCCAACACTCATCACAGAACTTGGCACAGTCAGTGACTGCTTGATGGCTGAACTCAGCAATCCCTGACCCAGGGAAGCTCCTGTCTGTGAAGTGAATGAGCTTAGACAGAATCCCGAGGCCTAGGGGTGCAGGTTCATGATTCCCCTCTTGGATGGAGGCTCTGCAGAATGATGACCGGGTCCCCAGGGCCTGGCTGGGTATGATCATGGCGCCCCCTGGTGGCTTCAGCCAACAAACTGCATCAACCCAGTGCCTTCCGCCTAGTCCCTGGGGTTAGAGCTGCGGCATTCTCTGTCCGGCAGGGGGTGAGGGAAGGGCCTGGGTGGTCCTGAGTACAGTCCCTACCTACCAGAAAAATCCTGCCTTCTCTTTGGCTTTGAGAACCCGACTGGGGAGCGGTCCCTGCGGCCTGAGTTTTCTCCCCCTCCCTTAGGGCCCTTACCTGTCTCTTCAGCTGCTGCAGAGGCTCTGCCCACCAGGGGGCTGCCACGTGGGGGGTCAGGGCTGCCCGGGGTGCGAGAGAAGCAGGGCCCCTCTTTCTCTGTCACGGTCTCCCACCAACGGGGCTGGGGAGGGGGTGGGGTCTCTCACCTCACTGCCCTTGGCCAGGGCAAAGCCACCACCCAGAAGGATCACGATATTCCAAGGCATTTTCTTTTTTACTATATCCCAGGTGAGGAGGGCAGGAGGGGCCTTCAGCTTCCCTGGGTTTCCTACTCCCCAAGCAGAAGAGGGTGGGTCACCGGGAGCCAACAGACTTTCCCTCCCCTCCCCTCCCCCTGGGGACTCTCCAAGCAGTCTTGATCAGAGCTTAATGCATGGGCGAGAGGGACCCTCAGTTCTGCCACATCTTGGCTTCGTCCCTGAGTGCCCTTGGCGAGTGCCCTTGGCAAGTCAGCCCAGCTTCTCTGGGCTTTGTCTACTCCTGCCGAGAATGGTGGGAGGGAGGCTGAGTGCCAGAAGGCAGGGTCTGCCCAGAGGCCCTTCCCTGCCCCAGGCCAGGTGCTTACCTGGTTTCTGAGTCAGCCCTGGGATCTTGGAGGGCATGATGAACATAATTACAGCGATTAAGATGGCTACTGTCCCATCGGATGTCATGCTGTGGGTGGGGCAGGGAGGGCAGGCTTAGAGGCTCAGGGCTACTCAGGGTCACAAGGGGGAGGGGGGCTAGAGAGGAACCCCTCCCCTAGACGTGCCAACCTCCCTCCTGTTCTGAGTTGGGGGGCCTGCTTCCTTCCCTCCTCCCAGAAGTATTTCTCCTCCCCACAATCCTTACCTCTTTCCATTCTCATCAGAAAAAGCCAGGTTACCCCAGCCTGTGAAAAAGCCTGGCTCCCGAGTGAACCAGAGCACCACCAACAAGACAAAGAGGAAGGTGACAGCCTTTTCCGCGAAGTTCATGGGGCCCAGCAGCTTGTGCTCTCTCTGGATGACTTCGAAAGCTGCTCGCTCCTGATCCCTGTTCTGGTCCCCCAAGCCAAAGTTCTTCCGGAAGCTGCAGGTGGGGGTGGGGACAGCTTGTGAGGGCCCCCACTCCGGGCAGGGGAGCAAGCGGCTCTGAGTGCCTGAGGTTTTGTTTCTTTTTGATTGATGTTTTGGCCTTGCCAAGCTGATTGCAGGATCTTAGTTCCCTGACCAGGGATTGAACCTGGGCCACAGCAATGAAAGCTCGAGTCTCAAGCACCGGACCACCAGGGAACTCCCAGGAGTGCCTGTGTCTTAAAGGCTGAGACATGCAGAGGTCTCCTTAGGATTACTACACTAAGACCTTGATGCCCCCAACGTTCTGGAAGAAAAGCAGAAGACTCTGGTTTGTAAACTCTGTTCATAAAGAAGGCTGAGCACCGAAGAATTGATGCTTTCTAACTGTGGTGTTGAAGAAGACTCTTGAGAGTCTCTTGGCCTGCAAGATCAAACCAGTCCATCCTAAAGGAAATCAGCCCTAAATATTCATTGTGAGGACTGATGCTGAAGCTGAAGCTCCAATACTTTGGCTACCTGATGCCAAGAGCTGACTCATTGGAAAAGACCCTGATGCTGGGAAAGACTGAAGGCAGGAGGAGAAGGGGATGACAGAGGATGCGATGGTTGGATGGCATCACCGACTCAGTGGACATGAGTGCAAGCTCTGGGAGATGGTGACAGGGAAGCCTGGCATGCTTCAGTCCATGGGGTTGCAAAGAGTGGGACACGACTGAGTGACTGAACAAACAATTGCTTTGTCAGGGCTCTTATTTAGCGGAGGGGCTGGTGGGTGGGGTTTCCCTGTACTTGGCCCTGCTCCATCGGTCTCACTGACCCCTCCACGCTTCCAGGAGTTTTCTTGTGCTGAGCTTTCCCTTGCTCCGAGTGAGAAGGCCCCAGAAGCCTGGAACCTGTGCTTCCTTCTGGCCCTGACTCATCACTCCTCTCCTCCAATAACCTTTGAGGAAATCCTCCCCTCCCTCTCCTACTGCTTCTGGGCACCCTCTGCCAGCGTGAGCCCCACCCACACTGTCCGGAGAAGCACAGAAGAACAGGTCTGCAGCCTGTTCCACGTGCGCTGGTTTAACTCATGTTGATGTTTAACTCTTTGCTTGGGCAAATCTCAACTCCCCTGCTGGACTGTGACTTCCTTGAGGGCAAAAATCATGTTTCACACATTTTTTTAAATCCTTTATGGTGCTTGGCACTGCGCTGGTCTCTTTGACTAACACTTTGCTTTGTATCAGCCTCAACCTCAACCCAACTTCCCTGCACCTGCCCAAGCAATGTTATAGCAATGATGCTTTAAAACTTTCAGTGACCACCCCCCCTGCCTGGGTAGGAAGGACAAATAACAACTTATATCATAGTAACACTCATACCACCACTCCTAGGTTGGACTCATAGTAGACATCATGAATCAATCACAGACTTGATTCCTACTGATCCCCAGCAAAGTCTCACATGATTTTCAACTTGGAGCTCTAGTGACAAGGGCTGGAAGTCAGAATAAAACCTCTTTACTACTCTTGGCCTCAAGAACAAGGTGGCACATAAGATTCCCCCATAATCTCTCCCTGCTGCCTTCTCCAAATTTGTATCCCGATACTCCTTTTTTTTTTAAAAATAATTACCTTTTTTCTTTTGAAATTAAATGTTTTTTATTTTGTGTTTTAAAAAAGATATTTTTTGGCTGCAACTGGTCTTAGTTGCAGCATGCGGGCTCCCCTCTGGTTGTGGTGGGCAGGCTGCCCAGCAGCATGTGGGACCTCAGTTCCCTGACCAGGGATGGAACCTGCATCCCCTACATTGGAAGGCAGATTCTTAACCACTGGACCACCAGGGAAGCCCCCTGATACTCCTTTTTTGCTCTTTACGTTTCAACCACACAGAACTGGAGTCTCCCCAAACCCAGCATGTTCTTTCTTGCCTCTTTGTACAAGCTATTCCTGCTGCCGAATGCCTTTACTTCATCTTCTACCTGGCTGACTTCTAACTCAGCAAGATTCAGTTCAGGTGTCATCTCTGCCAGGGGCCTTCTGGAATCTCCATTCACCTAGGCTCCTGTCTGTTACTGCCCCTACCTTGTCATCACCCATTAGATGGTGAGCTCCCAGGACAAGGACCGTGCCTAACGCCTGTAGTGTTTTCAGGACCAGGCACGTAGTAAGAGCACAAGCATCAGCACTTCTGGAACTGACCAAGCTCATAGCGTGCACTCCTTTGGCACCCGCGAGAGGACTGTGGATCATTATGGAATGGGACCTGGCCTGGGCACCAGGAGATCTGGTTTCCAATCCCAGCACTGACATGTCTAGCTATGGACCGTGCCTCGAACCTGTTTGCCTGTCTAATAGATGGGATAATACTCTCCAACCTTTCCCTCCAATGGGGGACCGAGGGCACAGAAGGGCCTTGGCGGGGAGAAGTTTGCTCACTGAGATGGTGATTATGTCCTTTCCCAAAAGGCTACCTGGGTACGCAACTGGGTGCTCCCAAAGGGTAAGGGCAGGCACCTGGGCGTCTCTTCCCCTTTCTGCCACTCACTCGAATCCTAAGAAGAGGATCTGTAGCCACACCCAGGAAAGCAGCAGTAAGATGATCATGGCAGGGAAGGCACAGCCGAACCAGGAGGCGAAGTTCACCACGTTGCCATTTTGGGGGAAGATCCTGAGGGGAATAAGGGCCGCTGTGTGGCATTGCCTGGTGACCGGCCCGCTCCCTTCGTCCCCGGTCAGAATGCAGACCCTCTCCCCCTCAGTCACTCACGAGTTGACCTGGCCTTGCAGCACCAGGTTGGGGGTGGTGCCGGTCAGGGTGGCGATGCCCCCGATGCTGGCCGAATAGCACACACACAGGCTCAGGCCCTGGCTGAAGCGGAGCTGCTCCTTGTTCTGCTGTGTCTTGGACTCCGAAGGAGTCGGTGGAGCAGGGCGATCCTGCTTGTTGTCTGGGAACAAGGGAGAGCTGGGGGCGGGAGTGGGCGCAGGGCCAGATTCGGGGAGCATGGCAGGGGCTCCATGGCCTCTGGGGCGCCTTGTCACTTAGCAGCCCAGACCCGGGCTGGGGGGAGGGCGGAGGCTGCCCCCAGGTCTGGAAGGGCGGGCACTCCCTGGGGTCTCAGGATGGAGTGACCCTCGGATACCACCTGGCCCAACCCCTCTCTTGGGAGAGGGAAACTGAGGCACAGAGAAGGGAAGAAGATTGTCCAAACTGCACAGGAAGAGTGGAGCCCGGACCCCTGACGGCCCACTCAGGCTCCTGCTCTCGGCTTGCCAGGGTCATCTAGCATCTCCGTTTCCCCAGGACTGAGGGAATTCCCAGCCTGTGGGACTTTTCATTTCAAAACCAGGAAAAATCTCAGCACACACACACTGAACTTCTTGCTTCCCTCATCCGTCCCCAAAGGTGCCAAGATATGGATTTCCCTGACTGTCTAGTGGTTAAGACTCTGTCTTCCAATGCAGGGGGAGCATAGGACCAATCCTCAGGCAGAAAACTAACGTCCCACATGCCGTGGGGGTGTGGCCAAAAGTTAAAAAAAAATCGGTGCTCAGATGACTCCTCCTATCATGAACATTATCTCAGACCCTCCCCAAGAGGGGTTTGGGGCAGGGCCTGGCCTCACCTTTCTCGTCAAGCTTGGTCTCTTCCTTCTGTTCCTGGAGTTCAAAGGCGGGGTTGTTCCTGCCCTCCTCAACATCCCTGTCTGTGGGCATCTTGTGCAGCTGCTCCAGAACGGCATGGGCGATGGGCACCATCATGGCGGTGGTGGCCGTGTTGCTGATCCACATGGACAAGAAGGCCGTAACCAACATGAAGCCCAGGATCAGCCTAGTGATAGACAGACACAAACACCGTTGTTCCAGCATTTCTGCAGGGACTGGTGGCCCAGATTGCCAGCACCCCAGGCTCTCCCATCTTGGTCTGTGGGGACTCACAGGGCGGGCCGCACCCCGATGATGAGGAGCACGCAGAGGGCAATGCGTTTGTGCAGATTCCAGTTCTCCACGGCGAGGGCCACCATCATCCCCCCAATGAATAGGATGTTGGTATCTTTCAGGTACTCAAGGCTGACCTGGCAGGCGGGGACAGGGCTTACAGGGTGCCGACACTGCTATTTCTGCCAACAGAGAGAGGTTGGTTCCCTGGGCTCGTGGACCCAGATGGAAATGGTCTTTGGATCCCCCATTGTTGAGTATTAAGCAGTTTCCTCTTTCTGATTAACCTGTTCTCCCGTAAGCAATGACTGAGAGGTCATCTAGCCTGAATCCTTCCATGCTTCAAACCACTGACTAGGAAAATTTAATGCTGTTTCAGAAGCTAAAGTCGTGGTTCTCTGTGGTCCCTGAGTCAGCATCATCACCAACCTAGAACTTGCTAGAAATGAAATGCTTAGACCTTGCCTCAGATCTATGAAATCAGAAACTCTGGGGTGGTGCCCAGCAAAATCTTTGTTTAACTGGCCCTGCAGGCGATTGTGGTGCATGGTCAAGTTTCAGAAACCACCGAACTAGAAGGAGACAGGATCTTTGGCTGGCTATCAAGTCCCCTTTCCCTCCCTAGTCTAGGCCTAATTGCTTCCACTTTGAATTAACTCTTGACACCAACTGTGCCCCTGGCATTTCTATAATGCCTTCCTCCTGGTCTTCTAGCTGACTCCTCCCTCAGTGCTCCCCGACCTGCCAGGCAGGGACTGGTCTTCCACACGCTCTACCTCTGATGAGGCTTCTTCTGTCATCACCATCCTAGGGCAGACCCCTCCATCCTTGGGAGCACATCCTCCTGTGAATGGGGAGGCTTACCGTGGAAGCAGTCATTACGCCCATCATGGGGAACATGATGATGGGGAGGAAGGCAGTGACGGCCAGCGGCAGCGCTTCGGTGCACCAGAAGAGCGCCATGAGGATGATGGTGTAGGCGCAATAGGCTTCCTGCAGGCAGAAGGGGAATAGCAAGCCATTGGAGGGGGCAGGCCTGTATCTCAAGATCACATCACCTCCTGTCCCCAGAGGAAACAGACTGTAATAGTGCAGGGAGACCCTGTAAAACTTATAGCCCTTGATTCCCAAACCCAAGGTCTCATTTAAAAATGGAAATAGGGACCTCCCTGGCAGTCCAGCGGTTAAGAATTTGTGCTTCCACTGCAGGGGGTGCAAATTCAATCCCTAGTTAGGGAGCTAAGGTCCTTTGTGCCCTGCAGTGTGGCCAAAAAAAAAAAAAAAATAAATAAAAAGTAAAAATGGAGATAGAAAACAAAGCAAAACACTCACCACCTTGTATTTAGCCTTGGGGAGTCTAGAGGTTATAATCTAGCTGTTGGATATAATCCTATCCCCTTGGGGATTGCAGGAGGCTTGGATGAGGATTCTTAGATAAGATGGGGATGCTCATCTCAATGAAACCAGGGCCTGGGAATTGTGGAGCACTGCCTGGAGCTCTGACCCTCCCTCCTTTATTAAGAGTCTGTAAGAATACATCTGTTTGTATGACGATTAAATAGTAAGTGTTCCTTCTGCTAGCAGGTGAGTTCCATGAGAACAGAGTCAGTTTTGCAGCATCTGGATCCTTGGAGCTCAGGACCCAGGAGGCTTCAGAGCAAATCTTTTCTGAATCACTAATCATTGAAAAGTTTTGGGAATGGCATGAGTCTCCTTCCAAGTGATTCTGGCATGACCACTGCATTGCACAACTCCAGGAGGTGTTATTCACATTTCTAGAATATGTGAGGGACTTCCCTGCTGGTCCAGTAGCTAAGACTCAAAGTTCCCAATGCAGGGGCCCCAGGTGCTATCCCTGGTCGAGGAACTAGAGTCCACATGCCAGAACCCAGAATTCACATACTGCAACTTAGAGTTCACATGCCGCAACTAAAAGATCAGCACATGACAATAAAGACCCGGAACATGACAATGAAGTTCCCGTGGGCTGCAACTAAGACCCAGGGCAGCCAAATGAGTAAATAAACATTAAAAAAAAAAAAATAGAATATCTGAAAAGTTCCACCATCTCTGTGTTGTATGGAGAATTGTGGAGTAAACCTGAGTCATGGCTTTGTGAGTCTTGGGGTACCAGAGGCCCCCCCTTTCCCTCAGGAAGCTCCCAAAGCTAGGAAGCCCTGACCTCAGGCCTGGGAGGGGACCTAGAGCAGGAAGTCGTCAGGGGCCCACCCGCCTTGACGGGGCCTCTCCGCAGGCCAGGGGAGGGAGGGCAGGCAGGGGAATCATTAGCCAGAAGGAAGCCTCCAGGAGGGGTGCTTGGAGCCAAGCCTCCTCAGGGACACCTGCTCACTCTTTGTCTGCCAAAGGAAGGGGCTGCCTGCTCGGACAAAGGGGCTGGGGAGCCCCTCCTCTCTTACCTGTCTCAACTGCCCGGCCCCTCTTGCCTTCTCCACCTGGTATGGCCTGGGCTCCCCCCTTATACCTCAGGCCCTTAGTACCCTGAGGTTGGAAGGAAGATCTCAGGGAGAGGAAGCTGCTGTTTACTGAGTAACTTTTAGGAGCTGGGCGTTTTCAAGTTTGTAGTTAGAGCCACTTTTGAGCTGTGGTGTTGGAAAAGACTCTTGAGAGCCCCTTGGACTGCAAGCAGATCAAATCAGTCCATCCTAAAGGAAATCAGTCCTCAATATTCATTGGAGGGACTGATGCTGAGGCTGAAGGAAGCTCCAATACTTTGGCCACCTGATGTGAAGAACTGACTCATTGGAAAAGACCTTGATGCTGGAAAAGATAGAAGGCAGGAGGAGAAGGGGACAACAGAGGATGAGATGGTTCGATGGCATCACCGACTCAATGGACATGAGTCTGAGCAAGCTCCAGAAGATAGTGAAGGACAGGGAAGCCTGGCGTGCTGCAGTCCATGGGGTTGCAAAGAGTCAGACATGACTGAGCGACTAAACAAGTTATAGCCACGGGTGGGTGTGGTGGTCTCATGTTATAGATGACCTCCAGGGGGTATGTGGCTTGCTCACGGTCACAGAACCAGGGAGTGGCAGAGCTGGGTGGGAACCTAGGCAAGGTATCCAGGATGGCACAATTCCCAGAGCATTCCCTGTGGAGTCGTATCAATGGCAGACCGGGGGGTGGTGCAGTGAGTAGCCTGCACAGCCAAGTATCTCTGATGCCAGGCTCACTTTCTCTCCATGAAACATCCACCACCTTTCTCCCCTGGGCATGAACTCATTGGCACGATGGGTGGGGATGCCTTGATCCTTAAGCAGAGACTTACACCTCTTCCTCCCTCAGCAGGAGGTAGATTCTGCTGAAATGGCTGTTTCTTCAACCATTTTCTCAGTTACAGTGATGTCATGGCCTGTTACCCATCCTCCCCCGCAGGCTACGAGCAGGCCAGCTCCTCTGGACCCTAGGGTGGCCCTCACCCCCTAGAATTCTCTGGCCAGAGATGAGGAGGGGAGCTGGGGTGGATGATTCCGCTGATTCACGAAGATAGCTTTGCAAAAAACAACAGCACAGGTATCGCTGAGGTCGGCTCCATGGACATGGTGCTCTCCACCTTTCAGGTGGTTCCTAATCATATTTAGCTGCTCTGTGATTTAGAAATGACTATTGTTCTCATTTCACAGATGAAGAAATAAAGGTGCCAATACATTAAATATTTCAAAGTCACACAAATCAATGAAGAATCCAGACTGTCTGGTTCTTGAGTCCCAGGGTTTTGCCTTCTACTTTGAGCTTGACCACTTACAGGTAGGGGGTGTCCTTCAGTCTCAAGCTCACTGTGGCTAGTTGGGTGAATGGGCATGAGTTAGAGCTCAGGATCCAAACAGAACCATTTTCGCTGGGGCTTGCCACTTCCCATTGCCTGGCTCTGGGCAACTTCCTTCAATTCCAGGTCCCCCATTTCCACCTTCCGAAGGGAGCTGTGAGCACCAGTGTGTCGAATCCATGGCTTCTGTACTCCTTTACAACTTTCCTGCTCCCTCTCCATATCTGTCTGTCTCTGGATCAAAATCAAAGTCAGTTTCAGAGTTCCATTTGGAAGCCGTCCCTGGCCCTGGTGGCTCTGCACCTGTGTTCCCATCCCACCCTCCTGGGCAGTCAGTCCAGCCGTAGCATAACCCACTGACCTGCTCTTCCTGGTTCATGGGGCTCTTAACTTGGGCAAGGAATGCCAAGGATCCATGAAGCTGGGTGGGAAAACTAGTTCATCTTTTAGCTAACATCTAACTAAGGTTATGAACACAGGCAACAAAACTGGATAGCTGGCTTCTTTTTTGGCCGTACCTCTAGGCTTGAAGGATCTTAGTTCTCCCATCAGGGATCGAACCAGGGCCCACAGTAGTGAAAGTGCACTGAGTCTTAACTTCTGGACAGCCAGGGAATTCTCCAAACCATACAACTGTTGACGGTACTAACAGCGATTTTGTCAAGGATATTTGATTGTGGTTGTCAGTTGTTAGGGACCTGAAGAGATCAGTGGTTGCAATGATCTCAAAATGCATCTCAAAATATTGTTTATATCCATATCTATCTTGAAATTATGGTAGTAATTATATCAACACCAGATCTTATTTAATGCCTTAATAAGGAAGCACTTATATTTCTGAACTGCAATTAATTTTTTTATACTTTTATAACTGTGTTCCAAAATGGTTGGTTTCCTTCTCCATCCCATAATTTTATTTTGTGCATTTCAAAGCAATAGTCTGAGAAGGGCCCAGAGTCTTCACCAGACAGTCAGTGACATTCATGGCTCAGAAATGAGAACAGAACCCAGGGGATCCTTTCTCTTTGGTCCCTCAATGTGTCTGATTCCAAGGTCTGCATTCCCCTGCTTTAGAAGTGGGAAGTCGGGGGACTTCCCTGATGGTCCAATGGTTGAGAATCCGCCTCCCAAAGCAGGGGACGTGGATTCTATCCCTGGTTAGGGAACTAAGATCTCACATGCTGTGGGGCAACTAATCTCACATACCGCAACTACGGAACCCACGTGCTCTAGAGCCTGTGCTCCAAAACTAGAGAACGCCTGTGTGCCACAACAAAGACCCAGTGAAGTAAGAAGAAAAAAAAGTGCACAATTAGGAATCAGACTTGGCCTCCTAGGCCACCTGATACCCTCTGCCTTGCTGCCATCTCTATACATCTTGGGCTGACCAAGCTCAGATGGTGGCCTATGGCATGAGACCCAACTGTCTTACTCCTCAACCTGTTGCACTGCTCAACTCCATAGGCTTCAGGTATAGTTTCCCTTTTTTTTACACCTTAAGTCCCCCTACCTCTTCTGCATGGCACTCATTACAATCCGTACTTAAACATTTGCTTTCACAAATTTCTTATGATGAATATCCATCTTTGCCATCAGACTATACTCTCTGGGGAGCAGGGTCTGGATCTGTTTGTGCTCACACCAGCAGGGTGCCTAGCACCTCTATGGAGTTAACACTGGATGAATGAGTGGATGAATATCAGGCACTGGAGCACAGACATGATTCAGGCCTGGCTCCAGCCCTCAGGGAGTCTTAGTGCCCTATGTGGGCTGGTTCACAGTCATGGCGGATTCCCTGCCTGGCAAAACCAACAGCGAGCAGATGAGATAAACATTCAGATGGTTTCCAAACCCCAAGGCTGGCAGCTTGCTTCTTTTGTGATAGGAAGCAAAAGTCAGAGGTCAGAAAACCTGAGTGCCCAGGCCCAGCTTTATGGCTGCATGTCCTTGGGCAAGCTATTTAACATCTCTCAGCTTTGGGTTTTTTAAAATAAGAAATATTGAACATTTCCAACTGTATACACTCTGCTGTCTTTTGTGAAGTGTCCTTATTTACAAATAGGGATAAGAGAAATACCCACTTTGCTGAGTTATTATGAGGATGTAGGATTTGACTATGTAGGTTTCAGTTGTAAAGAACTGTGGATGACAGTGAGCAGGTGGCCTAGGTTAAACTTGGCAGAGAAACATGCTCCTGGGCTGCTGGGGA